ACTAACACCATTCCAGGCACAGAGAGCTTGAAGGATACACACCGACGGATGGCTTGGTTGGCGGGAAGCCGGAAGCCCTGATCTCTCACTGGAGGGGTCTACTGAAGCGCTGGGTGGAGGACTTTTTCAGACATGTGCGTGTGACAGGTCTGCCCCAATGCCTACACTTAAGAGAACGCCAATGTCTTCTTCGCTAAGGGGTTTGGGGAGCAGGACCAAGAAGCAGGGGAGCGCTTATGTCCCCGCGTCGAGCTCCCACACCCCCCTGGAAGATTTCGGATACAGGACAGGCAAAGAAAGCGTGTCAGATACAGAACAGAAAGCTGTTCAGCCTTGATGACTTTTGTCTGAAGACCACTGGAAGAAAGAATGCTAAGTGGGAAAATGGGGCAAAGAAGTTTCGTTTCCTTCAGTGATGAGGTGCAGTGCTCACTACCACCTGGAAATAAAACTCCTGTTTGAAAACAAGGAACTCAAAGTAACATGTGTTATCACCTGCCTGAGCAGTTAGGTACAGACGTTCTCCTCCCCTTAGCATTGGGGTAGCAGAGCTTAAAAAGCTTCCCTGCAACTTCTCTCCCTACTAGGCAATAAGAGGATGGGATACAGGATGGCATGTGCTGCAAAACTTGCAAATATGTACTTCCATGCAAGCCTGCAAGCCCCCAGCTACGTTACGGGGGGGTGAGCTAGACCACGAAAATAAAGTTATCCCCCTAAAAAGCATCTTGATGGCCTGAAACAATGACCAAGCTAACGGAGCCTGGAGTTGCAACTTTTTTTTTTGAGACATCGCCTTGCTGGTTGGTTCGAGCGCCCTCATGTGTCTCAACAGAGTAACGTCACCTTAGGCCTTCCAAAGGGCTATAGGTGACGACAGATTCGATGACACACAGTAACCTCTTCATCCCTCCTTTCAGGCATCTCTTGTGACACAGAAGATTTTCAGGTTGCCCCTAGGACTATGAATTTGCCCTCCCTGATGTAAAGTGACCTCGTAACTTACACCCGAAAGAATGGGAAGCCAATGTTCACAGAAGTGGAGGCTAACTTCAACTTGCCTGGTCTGGTTTAAACATGTTAGGTCATCCTGCTTATTTCTTTTTCTTCCCCCCACCCAGCCCGAGGGGCAGTGCTCTAAGCCTGCATACCCCCTTCTCCGATACGGAGCTCATGCAACTGAAGAACCCAGAGCTACCTCTACAATAAGCAAATCTCAGGAGACCTAGCTCCATCATCCACTCTATGACCTGTGGGTAAGCCATTCTTCTCTCTGGGTCCTGGGCTCTTCCTCTGGGACGAGAGGATAGGGGTTCTTTTCTCAAAGATAAGAAGCATCTGCAGACATGCCTGGCAGAGAGTAGATAGGCACCCAGTAAATGTTAATTGAATGCAAACCTATAAACTCTATTCCAACCCACTTGCCGTATTACATTTCCAGAAAACAGATATTCTTCCTCAAATACAACGTTCATGCGTTAAGAACTAGCTTGGGAATTCATGGAGAACAGAAAAAGGTCAAACACTTCCCTGCGTTTCCCACAACACCTGACCGAGTCCCAGGCACTCAGTAACCCTCCATAAACCAGTGGGGGTGGAAGGAGTTTGACCCCTTCATATATTTTCTCACTTTCTTTCTTTGGCAAAGTCTAAAGCAATCAAAGACAAATATATAGGCAAAAATTCACTCAAGAACTTGAGACTATCCACACAGAAAACCTGATATCTTGATATAGGATGAAAATACACACACACACACACACACACACACACACACACACACACCTAGCCGCTTGTCTTCCTTTCCTTGAGATTCGGAAGGCATGACTCAACATTGCAACCACAGAGTCAGGCCCAGAATTCCCAAAGCACAATAACATTGATGCTCCAACCTTGGTCACTATGGCAGACCAACCTTGATGGGTCTTGAACTCTGTTCACAACAAAAGAAAGGTTTATCAGGAAGCCATGCTCCTGGGTTCTTCTCACCAAAAATGCAAGGAGCCACTCACCACTTAGCTTTAAGCTAGCCAAATCCAGCAAAGCGCTGGAGATTTTTGGCTTAATCGTCTCACTGAACTCATGCCAACCTTGCACGGGAACAGCCAGGGCATCATCGCCCAGCCTTAGGTGTTGGCAGATCCTCCCACCCACTTTCCCTGCTGGGGGGGCAATGGCAAAGCGTCCCCTCCCCTCCCCCCACTGCACCTGGGGCAGCCTCCAGCTCAAACAAGCCGGGCTGGGGAAGGTGCCTCACCTACTGGAAGTATAGTCAAGACCTCTGTTGGGGTAAGCCTACTGCTTTAACAGAAGCTAGAAAGTGCCTGCCCAGCAGACATGCTACATGATCTTGTCAACTGCAAAAATCATAACCAGTAAATGGGGAAGGAAAAACCCTGATGTGCATTGTTTGCATTGTCATTAAACTAGGAGAAAGGTTTTCTCCCCCCAAGGGAAGGTCTGAGAATAACTGATAATTTCTATTTTATTTAAAATAGCTCTCATATTTTTCCTCTCTTCCTTTCCTACTGCTACCATCGTTTTCCAGGGCCTTATCAACAGGAACATATTACTAACTGGTCTGATAACTCCCATTCTTTTCTTCCTTCCAACCATCATAAGGATGATCAAAAGATCTTCCCCAAACACTAACTTCAACACATTCTTTGACAATTCCTACTCAAGAATGCTTACTGACTCCCTGTTGCTTGCAAGATAGAATTTGAGCTCTGAAGTCTGCTATTCAGACTCCTCCTATTGTCTCAAACAGCCCAGGAGAAGTTAAAAAGAACCAGACTCTTATATCACTGCTATATTCAAGTCCAAGAAAAAAGCACGATGACTGTGGACCCTTCAGATATCCTTGAATAGAAATCTAAGTAGAAATGCCCAATGTCAAATTTACAGCTTTTCTTCTTTGGAAAGAAACTTGACATTGGGCATTTCCACTTAGACTTCAGTTCCCTTCTTTGACATTCAGGAATGTCAGACATGGGAATGACCTGATGCTCGCGCTGGTTACATTCACACCGATGCGGCGGGCCGCTGGTGGATTTCTTCAGAGGCTGGCTTATCTGTCCTTGTGAAACACTTCACACACCCGGCAATGAACCTCCAGGCACATGATGATCAATGCGTAAAATAAGAAGGAAGAATAAATCAACATCAGAAGAAACACAAAACACATCCAGACACTTGTAGGACATTCTGTTCTGGCGGCAGCCCCAGATAATAGGAAAAAGAATATAGATGGGAGAAATCATCACTCTACCCTCCAAAGCCAGTAGCCAACAAGGGGAAAGTCCAACAAGAGAAACAAACAGCACTGCCGTTAACAAAGAGAAATGGCTAAGGAGGTAGAGAATGTGGAGGAACAGAAAGCAAGATCCTTGGGGAAAAGATGCATGTATCCTTTTTCTAGCAAACTTCATCCTTCCCAAACAACCTTTTGTTGCAAGGGAGGGAGGGGCCATAACCACTCAGCAAGCCCACCCCCCTCACACCCACAGAGCAGACACTGGTTTGTGGTTAGTAGAGTTGGCATTCTTTCTTCCACCTTGGAAGGTGTTAGGATTTAAACTGAAACCACGGGCTTGCAAGATCGTCTTGTTCCTGCCTGTATGAATCTCCAGAGGCCCTTTTGCATTTACATCCTGAAAATTTCTGAAGGTCTTCTTGCTTAATCCCTTCCCTTCACCCCAGCCCTTAATGTAATGCCCACTTTTTTTTTTTTTTTTTTTTACCCTGCTAAGTCCTCTCCTCTCCTCAGCCTCCTTCGCAAGTTAAGGACATGCCCTAGTGCTGCCTACTTATAAGAAAATAGGAGCTTCTATACCAGGCATGATTTGTGATGCCCCTATAATTTCCCCATTAAGTCTAGAGCTTAGCCGTCCTGTCTCCTACACATTCTGCTCTTTTCCTACCCCTTCCTCCCAGTCCTGCCTGCCCCCTTAACCTCCCCGCCCCCAAGAAATGAACTGGTTTACCTCGCAGGTTTAGTCTTGCTTTGGCCAGCTTATTATTTCAACGTGATTATGAAGTCGCCGGGCTTGAAAACACAGCTTGTTAATTTCCAGGCATTCACGACGTCTCCCCGTTGAGCTGAGTGTGTGGAGGTGTGCATGTGTGTACCTGTGGTAACTAACACTCCTGCGGTGTGCGACCTTGCTGGTGACTGAGAAGATGGAATCAAGGTTAATTTGTGTAACCGGAGAATCATAGTTTTTAGAGATGTAAGTCATGCTAGACTCTGATGTTGGCATTTCACAGATTGGAAAACAGAGGCAGAACAAGGTAAGAGGACTTGACGACGGTCATAGGGCTAGTCGGTAGAGGAACTGGGGCCACCGCTCCGAACTGTCCTATCCCAGTCCACCAGGGCCCTTCCACTCATCTGTGTCCCTCCTCAAGGGTTCATATATGTGAATGAGAACTCGGGATGCCTACATGCAACCAAAGTGCCAATAAGTACCTGGGAATATGTACGTGCCAATAAGATAGGGACAGCGCATAGCTCACAACATAGTATACTGATAAAATCAGACTAAAACGGCTGTCATGAGGTTAAATTAGGTTCCAGAGAGACCACACTCCACATCCTGCTGCTGCTGTCCATTCCCCACCCCCACAGATCATTAAAAAAAAAAAAAAAAAGATGGATTTCCAAAGCACCTCGTTGAGATTTTCATGATTTTTCCCTCAGTTCAATCACTACACGGTCATCCCTGAATTCCGTGAAAATAGCTTTTCACACATCCATGCACACACCGTCACACACACATGTAAAACATTGGCAGCAGGTACTTTTAATTTGCTGGAAAATATTTCTAAGAAGTCAAACAGCTCCAGCCCAATGAGAGTGCCCTCCGATTGGCTAGCCAGACCAGTTGAGGGACCTGATTGGTCCCTGATCCTAAGGACCGATAAGAACGGCTATAAAATCCCTGGGTGCAGCTCTTGGGCCCCCAGTTTGCAAAAGCCAGAGGTGCAAGAAGCAGCCACTGCAGCAGCAGCAACAGCAGCAGCAGCAGCAGCAGCAACAGCAGCAGCAGCAAAAGCGTCAGCAAGAGCAGCAGCAGCAACCACAAAAAATCCTCATCAGATCCTCACCTAGGCTTTCAGTGTATCCAGATCCACATCTTCACTCAAGCCGGGAGAGGGAAAGAGGAAAGGGGGGGAGGAAAAAAAAAAAAAAAACCCAGCAACTTAGCGGAAACTTCTCAGAGAATGCTCCAAAACTCAGCAGTGCTTCTGGTGCTGGTGATCAGTGCTTCTGCAACCCATGAGGCGGAGCAGAATGATTCTGTGAGCCCCAGGAAATCCCGGGTGGCAGCTCAGAACTCAGGTAAGCGGCAAACCCAGGACCGGTTTCTCCCCCCCAAAGAGCTGTCCTCATTTGCCTCTCGCTTTTGCAACTGTGTCTGTGACGGCTGATCTTGATAATAAATGTGCTTCATGCCTGATGGCAATAAACTGCCAGTGTAATCCAATAGCCTTAGGAAGTGGAGCTCCTTTGTTTAATAAATTGCATGCAACTAACGAAGAAGCTGGGCTCTCTGCTGAGGGTATTTCATTGCATAAGCCTACTAGCCTGATTGCCTGAAATCTGGCACGTACCCTCTTGGGGGAGGGGGAGGGGGCGGGGGAAAGGCTTGAATGTTGGCATGCTTCAAAGCGCTCTCTATACTTTCCAGAAGCTGAAGCCGATCTTAAGGTGAGACATGGTTTGTCTGACGCCGTCCCCCTTCCTTCACCCTTAAGACCCCATAACTGGACTTCCCTGCCCCTTCAGAGAACACACAGAAAGCTCCCTCTGCAGACAGATTTACCGAACCATAGCCCCCAAGGCTGACAAATCCCGGGCAGATGCAGAGAAAACCCTACACATCCCACCCCTGACACTGCTCCTTCTCTTCCTCCCGGCTTTCTCAAGCTTCATTCAGCTGCCTAGACAGTGCAGCCCACGGCCAGAGGGCCCCCTTGAAAAAGAGTATTTGTGAAACGTAGCAGCTGTTTCTTCAAGGGGAAGGTCTCACTCTCGCGCTGACTCCCGTAGCAGTTAATTGTGTATTATCTTGGCCTCTAAAGGAAAAGAGTCCTTAGGAAGCCGGCATGAACACCTCTGCCTTTTGACTCCACTCGTCCAGCTTGCCCCTCTGACATTACTGCCCCCACACCCCCGACTGTCAGCAAAGATGGGATCGCAGGTGTCCAAATGCTGCAGACAACGCTCCCCTCGGAAGAGCACAGGTCGCTGCCTAGAGGAGGGCTTTGCTTCACTTCCTTTTGTACTTAGTTGCTATAGAAATGCAGTGATTCACAATTCGAGCTTGCCTAAAACAATAGCAACCCTAATGCATATTAAAACTGCTTAAAGCAAAGTTATAATTTGAACCCGTGGAAATATATAATTAGGGAAATGACTTGTAACATCTCAGAGGCTGCGGGTGGTGGGAGGGGGAGGGGAAGCCTAACCGAACCATGCTTTTGATCTCAGAAGAGAATCCTATGGTATGAAGGCTGCAGATCATTTCTTGCCGAGCTGCTTGCCAGAACACCCCCTTTCTGTAGGAGAGAAATTACTTTTATGGGAGATCTTATCCAGAATGTAGAAAGCCTCATGCAAGTTCTTTGTGGTTATCTTCCAGTCTTGCACAAGGGGTGCTTTGGCCTTGTTATTCCACACCTGTGTTTCTCTTTAAAAAAAAAAAAAAAGAAAGAAAAAGAAAAAAAGAAATGGCTTTTAATATGAGAGAGATTATGCATACCTCTAAGCACTGTCCTATGGTGGGGGGTGGGGTGAAATATGAACGGACCAGATTCCTTTCTGCCAACCTGAAGGTAAGTCAGAAGCCCTAAATGGAAAGGGTCTCCCAGTGAACTCCTTGGCAAATTCTTCTCTGCCATTTAGACGAAAATTCCATTCTTATTACTCCAGAGTGCATTTTCAGAAGCCAAATCAATTCCCTTGGCCCTTCTACTTCCTAAACCTGACCACCAGCCACCGCCTCTTGCCTTCCCAGGCTTCTGGGCTCTAAGCGAGGGCCTCTGATGCTGCAGAGCTGTTTCGAGCACTTACAGTGCACGCCGCAGACTCTGACCTTACTTCTCCAGCCCCCAAAAGGGTATGCAATGGTGAGACCAACAGGGAACACCCCTGCCCGCTTTTTTCACGTGCTCTGGCTCTTACAAGCAAAAGGGGTCTGCCTGGCCCGCTCATTCAGCCCCTACCCCCTCTGAATGGGACTACCTACTGGCCCCCTCCGCAGACCTAAGAGAAGTTCTTCCGAGCCCTTGTCCTTGAATCTTGCCACCTTGACCCTTCCGAATCCCCCTCCCTGTTTGACCCAGATTGGATGGGTTTGTGTGTTTCAGCTGAAGTGGTTCGCTGCCTCAACAGCGCTCTGCAAGTTGGCTGCGGCGCTTTTGCATGCCTGGAAAACTCCACCTGCGATACAGATGGGATGTACGACATCTGTAAATCCTTCTTGTACAGTGCTGCTAAATTTGACACTCAGGTAATAAGACCTCTACCCATGCCTCCCACTGGCTGCTTGTCTTTAACAGTGCGCTTAGACTATTGTTTGTAGGAGCCAGTCTTGTAGGGAAGCCTACAACCTAAATTCTCAGCGCTGGCATGTGCACGCACCCTCCCGCGTGCACACGCACACTTTCGGCCAGGAAGCCACTTCTGTACGAGACCACTCCCCGCCCTGTAATGCAGGATCATCACACGCTGACAGAGGCTGTCACGTAAGGGAGGGGCGATGAGCAGAAAATCCTTGCCTCTTCAAGAGGAAATAAAAATGTTCTTCTAACAAAGAAGTTCTCACCGTATGACCTAGCGTACTAGCTTGTGTTATCAAAGTCTCAATCCCAAAAAGACAAAGCCGTATTACGCTCTTTTTAAGCTGCAGGGTGGCTGATTACGGGTGTGTCTCTTTTTTTTCCTCCTGTCTCATTATTTCTATGAAGCTCAATGCTGAAGGTAGTCTAAGAAAGTGGGGACATTTTTTTTTTTATCTGGGTCGCGGCATACAATTTCCTCATTGCAAGGACATACAGATGGCCGGGGGACAGTGCCAAAGCAAGGCCCCTTAAGTTACACCCTGCGTATGCCCTGTCCCCTCTGGTCAGCTCGAGCTAACGCTTCTCCTCCTACCCCTTGCCTGGCAGGGAAAAGCATTTGTCAAAGAGAGCTTAAAGTGCATTGCCAATGGGGTGACCTCCAAGGTCTTCCTCGCCATTCGGAGGTGCTCCACTTTCCAGAGGATGATTGCAGAGGTGCAAGAGGAGTGCTACAGCAAGCTGAATGTGTGCAGCGTCGCCAAGCGGAACCCCGAAGCCATCACCGAGGTGGTCCAGCTCCCCAATCACTTCTCCAACAGGTACAGAATGAGTCTGCTTTTTGGCATTGGGGGGGAGGGGGGAGGCGGGAGGGCAGGGGGGGGGGCAGGGCGCTGGCAGAGCCAGACGAAGAAGGGGGTTAATTGCCACAGTCACGATCTTATTTTAGCTTGCAGCCTTCCCGGCTTTTGCAGGAAAAAATATGTTTGTGATTGGTTGTGACAGCTTAAGCAGCCTGGATTTTTTTTTTTTTTTCCTCACTGTTATAGGAAAAGTCTTCCCATGCAGCTATTAGAAAGCTTCATCTGCAGCATCCCTGGGTGCATTCTCATTGTCAGTTTCTCACACTAGGCCTTAAGGGAATTGTGAAGTTTATGGACACAAGCTTTTGTGATACACATTTGGCTGAAATTATGCCTATGCACGGTACAAGTGGCCATTGGAAAAACCCTGGTCAAATGTCATAATGCAGACTTTTCAATGTGCATGTGTTCTGAGAGGTCCCAAGCCCAAGCAGACATCCCAGTATATGCCAGGCCACTTTGTTGGGAATCAGATTTCCTTTTGTGACAAGGGAGCTGGCTGGGCCAGATGATTCCCCCGCCCAGACCCATGGTATTCCTTTCTCTAGTCCGTGGTCTCCTGGATTGATGTTTCTGGTGAGTGCTCATATTCTCATCTCAGTATTCTTACGTGATCCCAAACCTCTGAAGTAATTCTATCTGAGCATCGGCCCTTTGGTGCTGCGGGCTCACTGTCTTTACCAGCCGGGCGTGGACACCCAGCACACGAGAGGGCTGACATCCTCGTTCCCCGACCCACGAAGTTTCCCAGCATAGGCCTGGGCTTCCCCATCTGCCATCAGGTTAGGAGAGGTGCCAATGAGGCTGGCATGGAGGTACAGCAGGGACAGCGAGGCTGGGACAAGGTCAGCCCCACTGTGATGCCACACAGCCTAAAACTTGTCACCTAGTCCTGAAGCACTAAGATCCTTTGACTCCCCGGCCAAATCTGCACACACTGACAAAGGTCAGTCCTATTGCCTATTACCTGGACCACCTGATTGCTAACTGATTAATCTCCTAGCCTGGTCTGCCCCTTCTTCCAGTAGTGCCAACAACCTGCTCCTCCCGGGGCTTACCAGTGGTTTAGTCATGCACATGTATGCAACTGGAAGACCGGGAAAGTACCTCTTCCTTAGGGAACTACTAAAGTCCCTGACCTTAAAACTCGATAAAATTTCTGATTCTCCCATAAGCACGCAGTAAAGTCTCCTCAGAACCCCATGTCAATTTCTAAAATAATTTCTTCAATACTTGGAAGCGACTCTGTCCCTGGGTCCTAGTTGATGTCCTCAGAACAAGGAAGTCAAATCCCGCATTTATCTCAAATAGCCTATCTCAGGTTGACCTTGGCCTTAAAATGCTCCCAAAAAGATTCTTGCTACATCTGAAGGGAAACAAAAACAAGACAAAACAAAACAAAGCCTGGCCAGTTGTTGGAGGCTCCCTTCACCATATAGGAAAAAAAAAAAGAATTCTTAGTAAACAGGGGCCAGGAACAAAGTATTTGTTTGTGGGGCAGCTGGGGGTGGGCAAGGGTATGTTGGCAAAGCCATCATTATAAGTCTAGATCTTTAAGGATTCTGTGACAATTTGTGACTTATAATAGGCCATGTAACCAACGTGGAGGCAATTCGAACTGCTCTATTTCAACTGAGGTCATATCTTCCATTGTAAAGGGAAAGGTCGTATAGAAAGGATGATACAGATTCTGGACCGGTGATCCTAAATATCTAAGAAGCGAATAGTAATAGGAGTTTTGAATCAGGCCACTACTGCTTTCAGGGGGGCTTTCCTTTACGCCACCTGTACCAGATGGTCACAGGGGCCTTGCGGTCTCCCTTTTTCATCTTGGGAAATCACACTTATTCAGAAGGTGGGGAAAAGTGGCCATCTCTTCCACGTAGCTCTTTCTCCCGTTATTTCACTTCAGCTGGCTAATATTATTCCTGCACAGAACTGTAGAGATTTCCGGTTTCATGCTGGGCTTGCTTTGCTCTATTTAAGCTCCTCGCTCTCCCGAAACATCCTGCTTTCCCAGCCTCTGTCCCACCACAGAGACATACTAAGTTGTGCCAGTTGGCACCGAATCGCAAAGGGAAGTAGTTACAGGTTCATTCCACCTTCCTGTGACTTATCTAGCATGAGATTTGGGCCTGGGAGAATCCAAAAGCCTGTGAGACTGGACCGGCAGCCAGAACAGGGACATTTTCCATGGGAGAAATGCACTCAGAAGAAAAAGGATAGCTGGCCATCCCCCTGGCCAAATTTGCAAACTGCTCTCTTACCCGCGAGGGAAGCAGGCACAAATTGATGAGGAAAACCGGGCAGTGTGAGGCTTGGGAAGAAATCGGACCAATCCGATCCAGAGTGGGAAAACTGACGAAGCTTCCAGCTCTCTAGGGCATGGATAGGGAACAGGAAACAGAAGAATAATATTGATCAAGGGAAACAAAGGACTATTTATAAACCCTCACACAGAACGTTCCTAGGCAGTATGTGTGTATTTGGGTAAAGCATGGCTGAAACAGTAGCTATGGAGAATATCTGATCTTATTCTTGACCAAGAAAAAAAAAAAAAGGTCAGTGATGGAATTTTCAAAATGGGAGGAAAGGAACATGCATTAAAAGGTCCTTCCAGGCTGGATAATCAGAACACTTAGCCCATCAAGTCCCTGTAGCACATCCTGCCAACCCCTATAAAGGTGAAGAAAGGCATCTTCTGACATAGTTCTAACTGATCCTGCAGAGGACGGACCTGAAGCAGACCTGCACCATCCTTGTTCAAAGAAGAAGAAAAATATGTATTAAATCTCTAGATGCATAGGAGATCATAGCTGGAGATGATCATAGACTAAATGCCTAAATTTTACTGATTGAAAGAACAGAGGCCCAGAGAGGGAAGTGACCTGCTGAAGGTCACACAGCTAGTGAATAACAGAGTTGGGCCTAGAATGCATATGGCCTTGAGCCAAGCTATTTGATTTCTGCTTCAAAAATGGCAACCAGTAAAACATGAAGGAAATACTCACAATCCAAGGAGAATAAAAAGAGGAAGAAAATAGAACACCAAGGAGACTTGAATAAATGTGCCCCATGGTGATCAACACTTAAATTTGTTCAATTTGCTCAATTCTCTCCTCAAAGAGAAGGCACATCTTACCAACAGCTATAGTAACATAGACTGTGGGTACAAGATGGTGCCCGACAAATATGTGGCAATTGCTAATTCAACTTTTGCTGGAGACAATCTCTTAAATAATCTCACTTAGTGATTTATAGACGGGAAAGGTCTGTCTCATTCATCCACACAATCCCAGAGGTCAGCGCCGTTACTGTGTATTCTAGCCTTTAATGGAGAGGCACAGGACTAAACTGTGGCTCACTCTGGCAAATGATGTTGACCTCCAGGCAGCCTGACAAGTTGACAGGTTTTCCAGACTTGGAGGAGCTGCTAATGGAGCCATGGACATTTTACAGGGAGCCCTCTCAGCCTGCCCTTGTTGAGTTTACAGAGCTCCCCAAGAGAGCTAAGGGTAGATTTGGAGGGAGTCACTAGGGTAGTCGGGGCTGGTGAGGTCATCATCAAGAAATGCCAGAAAATAGGTGTCCTGTCTGGATGAGCAGCGAAAGTAACGTAAAGGTAGGCTCTCCCTCAGAGAGGGAGAGTTAGAGCCAAAGAGACACATCTGACCTCAAAGAGGCAAGGCTAATGGCAGAAGCTTAGTTTCCTTACTGGTGTAAGATTTCATCATCCAGGCAAGAGCTTTCAAGGTCAGTCTAAGGAAAGACCACCTTCTGTGGCTCATTGGGGCAGGGGCAGTTCTTTCTAGAAGTGAAAGGGTTACCTTTAAGTTATAAAGTCTTGATGGGGGTGGTCAGGAGGGTGAGAGGTCAGAAACCTTATTCTCTAAGATCTAATCACCCTGTAAAATAGACACAGAGATGAAGGGGACCCGTGTCCTTGCACAGCCCGAGTAAAGGGATGCCTGGGGACCTATGTGGGGTTATAGATATCTGAAGCTGTTGGTACAAAGTCATTTATTCTCAGTTTTTCCAAAACCATTTTTCTCCCTATTTCCCCATCCAAGTGAGATCTGCCTTGACTCATGGGCTTTATAATTCCAAAGGGTTGGAAAATGTGTTTCTGCACCAGAGAATCCCAATTTTAACAACAGCTGGATGTAACCCTCCCTCGTGGGAGGGGTAGAGCCAGGATCGTGTCCGAGACCCAGACAACAGTGCTTCTCTTTAGTTTGGCGCCCAGCTTCATCTGCTCCCTCACAGAAGGGTGGCCGCTCTGCTTCATTACCCGTGTTCCACTCTGTTTACCGTACATCCTTGAAAGGACCTCTCCGGGGGGTTAAGTTATTCTGGAAGGATGTTTGATCCTGTGCTCTGCGAGGTGAGTTAAAAATAAACAGGTTTCTTTTCATGGAAGATCTTGTGGCCCCAGTGACCCGCAGGCTCCTCTGAGGAAAGAGTCTCTCCACATAGAGACTGGAGGTCACTGTCATCCGGAGAGTCTCTTATTAGTGCATACAGAGCTAATGGGTTTTGACAAGTGCCACCTCAAAATGGAGCAAACAAGTCCCACCGCAAATTAGAAAATCACCTGAACTGTCTTCCCAATGAACAGGAAGAATAATTCATATGCTATAAATATTAGGCAGTTTGTCTCTGAGCCGTAACACTTAGCTTCAGCCTTTGGGATATCTAAACCACTTGCATCTAAGATGAAGGTGGTTTATACCAAACGTATAGGTTGGTTGGTTGGTTGGTTTGTTAACTTAACCACACCTACCTCTAATCTTTCTTCTTGGAATCATGACTTTTTGGAAAGAATTATTATGTCTAAAACTCCCCATTTCCTCAGTGGCCGCAAAATAAATCAACAAATTGACAACAAGCAGGCAAAGTAGACATGGGACACCGACACATGAAGGTTATAAAGAATAAAGACATGAATGCTGTCTTCAATAGGTTAACTGTCTAGTAGGGGAAACAGAACCATCACTAGACCATGCAATGCCGACTTGTGTGATGCTAACCAAAGATCTGTAAAATGTTCAAAAAAAGGAAGAGGCCCGCAAAAGCTAGAACAGTGGGAGAAGACTTTGGGGAATTCCCGAAGCGGAAAGCATCAAGGACCAGCAATCTTTCCATTTAAGTCTCCTCGTTTCCCGGCATTTGGCCTTCTGACTACAGTGCGCCTTTGAAGGAAGACTGCGAATGTGAGCAGTTGATGACCACTAGCAAGGCTAGCTGCATGTCTGATGGAGAAATTAGATTGGGTAGTAAAATGCATGAGACACTGAAGACAGGGGCCTCCTTTAAAAATAAAAGTGAAGTCCGAATATGCACTCACGTGCATGTGCACCTGCACACACACCACCAAGCAAAAGGAAAATTGCAAAGAGGCCTCAAAACCTCTGCCCAAGTTCCTGTGCAGTGACTCTTCATAGAAGTGTCTGGGGCTGAGCTCATATCATTATATTTGACTATGTCTTGTTTCTATCTCTAACCGATTGTACGACCTTAGACAAGTCACTTTAGCTCTCCCACGTGTGTTTCTTCTGTATGGACTGATGAGATAGCCACTGAATAATCTCTGTGATCCCATCTAGCTATATGTTTCTACATTTCTAAAATTTTTAGACATTGCTGTCAGCCTACTCTTCACAGAGGATGATCTAAGTCTCCTGAGCATTAAACATGAAGACGAAGCCGTCTCACATTGTATGGCAAATCTAGGAAGCACAGGCACTCAAACTAGGAAGACAAAGTAAGGGTGCCGGGGTGGCTCAGTCAGTTGAACGTTCAACTCTTGATTCTGACACAGGTCATGATCCCAGGGTTGTGGGATTGAGCCCCACGTTGGGTTCCACGCTGAGCTTAGAGCCTGCTTAATATTCCCTCTCTCTCTCTCCTCCTTTCTACCACCTGCTCCTTCCCCCTTCCCAAAATAATAAGTATTTTTAAAAATGAAGACACTGAAGAAAAGTTAGAAGCAAAAGCCACCTTCAGCTAATGAACTATTTGTATTTGCCTGGTCCGACCATGGCAGATGGTGTTGGCTGCAGCCCGGCTGGGAGCCTGGGTCTTGCCTTGCTCTCGCTGAGTGTCTGTTGCCTGTGCTCCTCTTCCAATGCAGATACTATAACAGACTTGTCCGGAGCCTCCTGGAATGTGATGAAGACACAGTCAGCACGATCAGAGACAGCCTGATGGAGAAAATTGGGCCCAACATGGCCAGCCTCTTTCACATCCTGCAGACAGATCACTGTGCCCAAACACACCCGCGAGCTGACTTCAACAGGAGGCGCACCAGCGAGCCACAGAAGCTGAAAGTCCTCCTCAGGAACCTCCGAGGTGAGGTGGCCTCTCCCTCCCACATCAAACGCACCTCACAAGAGAGTGCCTAAGCAGGGAGAGGTATTCACACCCTCACCAAACTAGTATCATTTTAAAGGTGTTCGCACACCAACTTTGAGTGTACTGTGCCTGGTTTGGTTTTTTTTTTTTTTTAAGTAGTTCCTATTTTCTATTCCCCTTACGGAAAATTGCATGAAACTAGGCTTCTGTAATCAATATCCCAACATTCTGCAATGGCAGCATTCCCACAGACAGAATACATGTGATCTTTCTGCCTCTTGGCAGGAGAGAGTTACCCTCTTTTATCACCCTCCTCTACCATGTCGTTTCCCAGGTCCCCTCAAACTACTCTCAAACACAAAGCATTCGTGTCAGGCCCAGTCATTGTAATTGGAAGATGTGGAGCCGTTTTAGGATGGTTGCCCCGGTAGAGTTAGCTGATGAGAAGCAACTTAACTTAAATGCATGTCTTCAATGCTCATAAAGATGTTAAATGGAATTCGTGTGATGAATCTGTGCTGGTCATGGACGAATATGAATGTCGTGTTTGAATTCTTGATCTCTCATGAGCTAGTGTCTTACGGTCTTGATCCTCTAGTGTGTAACTTCCTTTCCGACACATTTACCAAATTGCTCAAGCCTGGCTCTTCAACCAGAGTTTGAGCCTGCATCTTCTCGCATCTAATGACAAACAAAAAGCTAACATCTTTATGTACTGTAACTGCTCAGAGCTTTAAAAGTATCTTTAACAATTGTCTTAAAACCAGAGAATCTTAAGGTCTAACTGTGGAATATAAATAGCTGAAAACTAATGTACTGTACATAAATTCCAGAGGACTCTGCTTAAACAAAGCAGTATATAATAACTTTATTGCATATAGATTTAGTTTTGTAACTTAGCTTTATTTTTCTTTTCCTGGGAATGGAATAACTATCTCACTTCCAGATATCCACATAAATGCTCCTTGTGGCCTTTTTTATAACTTACGGGGGTAGAAGTAGTTTTACGCAACATCAAAACTCAAGATGGGCCTGTACGAGATAGGAAAAACCAACAGGTTTATCTGAAGGACCCCAGGCAAAATGTTAATCTCCCAGCCCACCTCAACCCAGAGGCTACTCTTGACTTAGACCTATCCTGAAATGGCTCTGTCACATCCAACTGGGAATTACGGGAACCAAAAAGAGCATCCCTTTGGGCTTGGACCACGTACAGTGCGATAAGGCCTACTCTATCTTGGGAAGTGGCAATTCTTGTCCCGCAGCCTCTCATCCGTGCCTGAAACTGATGGTGGCGTGGGAGACTTTCCATTAAATCAATCAGGAACGAGTCAATCAGCCTTTGGGTCTTCAGTTCCGGGGACTTGGGGCTGAGGGGGTATAAATAACCCTGGGCTGTCCAGCCTTAATAGACTCCTCTTACATTTTTGTCCTGTAGCACGCTGCCTGCCAAAGTAGTCCTGGCAGCTGGGCCATCTCTGTAGGATCACAAAAAAAAAGAAAAAAAAGAAAAAAAAAAAAAAAGAAAAAAGAAAAAAAAAAAGAAAAAAAAAGAAAAAAGAAAAAAGAAAAAAAAGAAAGAGGGAAAAAGAGCTGGTGGTTTGATTATTTCTGCCGTGATGTTTACAAGATGGCAACCACCGAAGCCAAATGATTAACCTATCTATGAACAACAGTAGTTTCTCAGGGTCACCGTCCTTGAACCCAACAGTCCCTTAAGAGCGTCACTGCCCACCAAAGGTCAATGTTGAGAGAGAAAGAGGGAGGAGGGGTAGGACTGCAGGGGCCACTCCAAACTCACTTAGGTAGAAACTATTGGTGCTTGACTCTCACTAGGTTGAACTCAAGATTTGACCAAATTGAGTGATAGGGTTCCTGGTGGGAGGAGGGAGGGCACATCTCCAGAAAAATGAAAAGCAATACAACTTTACCATAAAGCCTTTAAAAGCAGTAACACGCTGCTCAAGGACCAAGAGCAATCGCAGCAGACCCAGCAGCAACAGTCGCACAGCGTTGCTGCCTTTGTCCCCACACAGCCTCTAAGCGTGCTGACATCAGATTGTTAAGAGCATTTTTATACTCAGAACTGTCCCATCCCCAGGTCCCCAAACATACGGACACTGCCTTAGCCTCTTGGAAATCAGGTAGACCATATGCTAAGTTGACTCTCCCCCCACCCCACCCCCAGCCCCCACCCCCAGGCAAGGCTGACTTCTCCGAACCAGAAAAGCTACTCAAGTATGTGTGTCGTGTCCATTTCGCAAACCCACTAAGCCAGGACCCCAATGCGACAAGTAGTTCACGAGGATTCCTAGCCAAATTCTCTCTTACTTCAATCCAGTAGATTCTCTTTGTTTGCTGTGATCCCCTTCAAACCGTGGTACCCCCCTTTTCTCCCCACAGCGATACTTCTATATGTATCTATAATACATATATCCACACACATGGAAAAAAAAGCAGTTCTCACAATGTTGCTAGTTTTTTGCTTCTCTTGTCCCCATCCTGCCCACTCTTTCCGACTTCCCCTTTAAATTTCCAAAGCCTCGTCTTGTGTTTGCTGCACAGAGTGATTCGGGGGCTGACCTAGACCAGCTTGCATGATTCTTCTATTGTGATTTGGTTGCACTTTAGACATTTTTGTGCCATTATATTTGCATTATGTATTTATAATTTAAATGATATTTAGGTTTTTGGCTGAGTACTGGAATAAACAGTGAGCATATCTGGTATATGTCATTATTTATTGTTAAATTACATTTTTAAGCTCCATGTGCATATAAAGGTTATGAAACATATCATGGTAATGACAGATGCAAGTTATTTTATTTGCTTATTTTTATAATTAAAGATGCCATAGCAAAATATGAAGCCTTTGGTGAATTCCTTCTAAGATAAAAAATAATAATAATAAAAATAAAGTGTTACATTTTATTGGTTTTTTTCTTCCCCAATGTCTTTCATTGTTATTCTTTACAAAACTTCTTGAATGAGACTTTCTGAACGTGAAATTAACAGCTGATTGATTTCTTTAAAGTCACAAATTAAATGCCAATATGTACATGAATGTAGTTTAAATCAACGTTTTCCCAATCTTCTTAAGACCATTTGGTGGCTCCCATTCCCCTCACTATAAAATTGCACCCTGAAGTCCTTCCAGACTTCCAAGAAGCTATATGGTCTGGGGACCACTCAGCTCTCCAGCCTCAAGACTCTCCCTTCCTTCAAAGCAATGAACCCTATGCTTCTGCTAAGGCCTGTGCTCCATATCCCTTCTGGGCCTTTATTTATGCTCTTCTCACTTTCTAGAAGAGCTTGCCCTCCACCTGTGCTCAGGCTGGAAGCCCCTTTGTTTAGTCGCTGATGTGGTCCCAGCACTGAAAAAGCACCCAAATGTGAGATATCCTCATTACTTCAAATGAATGACTTAGAAGGAGTTCGGGAGAGGGAGAAAAGACCATTAAATCAATGTGAAAAGGAGGGAGATGGTTCTGTGGTGAGGACCACCCAGCTCCGGGGTCAGACTTCTGGGATTGCAGTTCGGGCTCTGCCAACTCATTAACTGCATGTCAGATGACTTAATCCCAGAATACATCGGTTTCCTCCGCTGTAAGATGAGGGTAGTGGTAACTATCCATAGCACTATTAAAAGATAAAGTAAGTAAAGTACTTACGTGTCCAATACACTGTATTGCTCACTAAGTGGCAGCTATTAGCATCCCAGGAGAAGGGATGGGAGTAAAAGGAGGGAGCTACCTGGGGGTAGCTCAGGTGGTTGAGGACCGACTTCAGCTCAGATCATGATCTCAAGGTTTGTGTGTTCAAGCCCCGTGTGAGGCTCTGTGCTGACAGCTCAAGGCCTGGAGCTTGCTTCAGATTCTGTGTCTCCTTCTCTCTCTGCTTCTTCCCCATTAGTGCTCAGTCTCTCTCTGTCTCTCAATACTAAATCAATGTAAAAAATAATTTTTTTTTGAAGGATGGAACTTTCCATCTCAAAAAACCGGGAAAGGATTCACAGCAGAATGACATTTACCTGGGTCTTAAAGGATGGTTACAAGTTCAGTCGCAAAAAAAGTGGGGGAGGGCTTCTGTGGTGTTGTTTTTCCAAGGAGAGTTCTTGTATAGCTTTTTTTTAATTAGTGGCTTTCCCTCTACATTTTAAATTCAAAAGAGGACTTTTTTCTCAGTAGCATTCATTTCTGCCTCCATACTGCATTTTCCCAAGTTCAGATGCACACAGGCCAACAAATACTGCAAGGGTTGCCACTCTAAGGCCAAAAATGTATGGCACTTGCTGCTCTCTGACCAGGCCGAGAATAAAGGATGCATTGATTTCATTATGGTCCTTCATCCTCCGTCTTCTTCTGTCAACACCTGTTTATGCAGAGAGGCTGTTCACTGCACTTTAATGTACTACTTATGAACTGAGATCTGAGATTTCCCTACACTGAGTTCAAATCTTCCTCTGTGGCTTCACACCAAGTAGCTGACACCTTCACACCTGAATTTCTTCAGCCGTGACAATATCCCTATGAAATAGAGATAAGCAATAGGTCCTACCTCCTAGAGTCACAAGCATTAAATGAGTTGCATATAAAGTACCAAAAGTGTTTAGCATGTAGCAAGCTCCCCCACAAGTAGTATTTATTGTGCATTCAACTAATGTAACTATCACTGGGTACATGAATACTATCCCCATCATTCAGACTCTACTCCCACTCCTGACATGACTCTTGAAGGACCACCTTGGTTCTTATTCTTTTTCTTTCATTGATCACTATACATTACTGTTTAATCAAAATTTTATGAATTTGAATATAAAATATTACAGTTTACCAAAAATGGCAGATTATAATCCATGAATATCTGTATACCGTCACCAAGCTTAAGAAATAAAATAATATAAGGGCACCTGGGTGGCTCAGTTGGTGAAGCATCTGACTCCTGCTCAGGGTCATGAATTCAAGGCATGTCCTGGGCTCTGTGCTGGGCATGAGCCCTACTTTTAAAAAAGAGGAAAGAGAAGGGGAAGGAGATGGGGAAGGGGAAAAGGAATAAGAAAGAAAAGAATGAAGAAGGAAGGAAGGAAGGAAGGAAGGAAGGAAGGAAGGAAGGAAGGAAGGAAGGAAAGAAAGAAAGAAAGAAAGAAAGAAAGAAAGAAAGAAAGAAAGAAAGAAAGAAAGAAAGAAAGAAAGAAAGAAGGAAAGAAAGAAAGAGAAAGGAAGGAAGGAAGGAAGGAAGAGAAAGAAAGAAAGAAAGAGAAAGAAAGAAGGAAGCGTAGATAAGATATTCTCTTATGTGTGCCCTCCTGAACCCATTCACACAGTAAGAGTCCACGGAACATTTGGCTGGCTCAGTCAGAAGAGCAAATGACTCTTGATCTTGGCAGTGTAAGTTCGAACCCCATGTTGGATAGAGAGATTACTTAAAAAAATAAAATCTTAAAAAAAAAAAAAAAGACTCCATGACCAAAATGCTTTGAAAAGCCATGGCTTAAAAGGA